TTGTAGTAGAATTTTTTTTTATTACAAAAAGTCTCAAACACAAAACTACTAGAAAAATAAAAAATTGAGCTTGAAAGGCTATAATAGAATGTCTTTACCTAGCACAAAAAAATGTCAAAATTTCTTACTGGTGTAACTACGAAAACTGAATTTCAAAAATGTAAAATTATTACTACAAAAAAAGCAATTAAATTATAGAGCCTAAAAGAGTGTGGTGAAATTTTTTTTCTAAGAATTTTCACCAACACAAAAAATTGTTTAAATTTCTCAATGAGGTAACTACGAAACTAAATTCGAAAAATATTACAATATTACTCAAAACTACTTGAAAGAGTGCAGTGGAATTATTTTTGGAAAAAAAAATATCCCCTAAAAAAATTGTAGAAATTTAAACTAGAGTAATTACGAAAACTAAATTCCTAAAAAGTAAGAATGTTACTCAAAACAAATAGAAGAATTAAAAAATGAGCTTAAAACACCACAATAGAATTTTTTTTACTGAAGAAACTTCCCAGAGAAACTCCTAGAAAAAAAAAACAAAATTCTCCCACACAAAAAATTGTACGAATTTCTCACCAGTGTGAGTGCGAAAACTAAAATCCTAAAATGTAAAAACATTACTCAAAACAAATAGGAAAATAAACAAATGAGCTTGAAAGAGTGTATTGAATTTTTTTTATTACAAAAATTCATCAACACCAAAACTACTAGAAAAATAAAAAATTGAGTTTGAAAGGTTGTAGTGGAATGTCTTTACCTAACACAAAAAATTGCCAAAATTTCTTACTCGGTTTAACTACGAAAACCGAGTTCCAAAAATGTAAAATTATTACTACAAAGAAAACAAATAAATTATAGAGCCTAAAAGAGTGCAGTGAAATTTTTTTACTAAGAACTTTCCCCAACACAAAAAAATTGTATAAATTTTTTAATGGAGTAACTACGATACTAAATTCGAAAAATGTTACAATATTACTCAAAACTACTTGAAAGAGTGCAGTGGACTTTTTTTAAGAAAAAAAAATCTCCAACACAAAAAAATTGTAGAAATTTTTAACTGGAGTAATTACGAAAACTAAATTCCTAAAAAGCAAGAATATTACTCAAAACAAATAGAAGAATAAAAAAAATGAGCTTGAAACACCACAGTGAATTTTTTTACTAAAAATATTTTCCGTAGATACTCCTAGAAAAAAAAAACAAATTCCCGATACAAAAAATTGTACGAATTTCTCACCGGTGTGAGTGCAAAAACTAAAATCCTAAAATGTAAAAACATTACTCAAAACAAATATGAAAATATACAAATGAGATTGAAAGAGTGTAGTGAAATTTTTTTTACTACAAAATGTCCCCAACACAAAACTACTAGAAAAATAAAAAATTGAGCTTGAAAGGTCTGTAATGGAATGTCTTTACCCAAGACAAAAAATTGCCAAAATTTCTTATTGGTGTAATTACGAAAACTGAGTTCCAAAAATGTAAAATTATTACTACAAAGAAAGCAAATAAATTATAGAGCCTAAAAGAGTGCAAGTGGACTTTTTTTACAAAGAATTTTCCCTAACACAAAAAATTGTATAAATTTCTCAATGGGGTAACTATGAAACTAAATTCGAAAAATATTACAATATTACTCAAAACTACTTGAAAGAGTGGAGTGGAATTTTTTTATGAAAAAAATATCTCCAACACAAAAAAATTGTAGAAATTTCTATCTGAAGTAATTATGAAAACTAAATTCCTAAAAAGCAAGAATGTTACTCAAAACAAATAGAAGAATAAAAAAAATAAGTTTGAAACACCACAGTAGATTTTTTTTACTAAAAAAAATTCCCAGAGAAACTTCTAAAAAGAACAAAAAAATTCTCAACACAAAAAATTGTGCGAATTTCTCACCGGTGTGAGTGCAAAAACTAAAATCTTAAAATGTAAAAATATTACTCAAAACAAATAAGAAAATAAACAAATGAGTTTGAGAGAGTGTAGTGGAATTTTTTTATCACAAAAATTCCCCAACACAAAACTATTCGAAAAATAAAAAATTGAGCTTGAAAGGTTGTAGTGAAAATGTCTTTACCCAAGACAAAAAATTGTCGAAATTTCTTACTCGGTGTAACTACAAAAACCGAGTTCCGAAAATGTAAAATTATTACTACAAAGAAAACAAATAAATTATAGAGCCTAAAAGAGTGTAGTGGGGTTTTTTTACTAAGAATTTTCCCCAACACAAAAAATTGTATAAATTTCTCAATGGGGTAACTACGAAACTAAATTCGAAAAATGTTACAATATTACCCAAAACTACTTGAAAGAGTGCAGTGAAATTTTTTTATGCATAAAAAATATCCCCAACACAAAAAAATTGTAGAAATTTCTAACTGGAGTAATTACGAAATCTAAATTCCTAAAAAGTAAGAATATTACTTAAAAAAATAGAAGAATAAAAAAATGAGCTTGAAACACCACAGTAGAATTTTTTTTACTAAAAAACTTTCCCAGAGAAACTCCTAGAAAAATAAAACAAAATTTCCCGACACAAAAAATTGTACAAATTTCTCACCGATGTGACTCGCGAAAACTAAAATCCTAAAATGTAAAAATATTACTCAAAACAAATAGAAAAATAAACAAATGAGCTTGAAAGAGTATAGTGAAATTTTTTTTATTACAAAAATTCTCCAACACAACTATTAGAAAAATAAAAAATTGAGCTTGAAAGGTCAGTAGTGGAATGTCTTTACCCAAGATAAAAAATTGCCAAAATTTCTTACCGGTGTAACTATGAAAACTGTTATTAAATCACTTATATTTTTAATTTCTTTAAACTATTCCTCACAATTTCTGTAACTATTCATTTTTACTAATGAACTAACTTTTTTAATTAATAATTTTTAATTAATATTTCGATTTTTCAATAATATATATATTTTCATATACAATTATAAATTTTTTTTATTATAAATTTTTTTTTAAATATTTGAGTTTAAATTAATAAATAATATCACATTAAAAAATATTAAATTATTCATTAGTTCCTTTTATATTTATAATATTTTATTAAAATAGTAATTATATATATATATATATATATATATATATATATAAATATATTTATATAATAATGATATGAGAATAAGTTTATAGAATAACATTTCTATTACATTTTTTTCTATTCGTATACGAGTGAAGAATAAGATATGTATATTAGTGTAGAAAATAACAACCTTAATTTCCATTTTTTTACTATCAAACAAGGAAAATGTTTCTGTGTCGATTTTTTTTTTTTATATAATCACTTTTCATTCTTTACTTTCAGCTGGAGCTTAAAACATATTAGATTGGATCAATTTAGTATTTTAAAATACATGAAAGCTTCAATTTATTTTATAATTAAAATAAATTAAAAAGTAATTTTAATGTTTCACAATATTTTTTATTTTAAGTAAATCTTTATATGTTATAATCAATTTAATCTTATAATAAAATATAATTTAGCGCATGTATATAAGGATTAAATTGCATTTTAACAATAATAAACAAACGTATGTAGAAAGATAAATTTAAATTAATTTTTCAAATTTTTTTATTTATATAGAAAGATTAATTATACTTTAATACAGTTTTTCATGATATTGATGTAAGGTTTTTTAAATATATCGAGGATAAACTTTTAAAAAATTGTAAACAAGTCGTATTATATATATATATATATATATATATATATATATATATATATATATATATATATATTTAAATAAGGTCGTATCATATAAGATTATTTTAATTTTTATATTTTAATAATTATTATTATATTATAATTAATTTTAATATATTTTATTATTATTTATTTTATTATAACTAGTAATTTAAATAATAAGTAGTATTATCATTATAAATATTATGTTATAATTATTAATACTAAAAAATATTTGATAGTAAAATCTATTACTATTATTATCATTAATATTAAAATTATTAACAAATAGCCTTATTTTATCTTGTAGAAGTAAAAGGAAAAGTGTTTTAACAAAAGTGGCATGTAAAAATAGCCTTTTTCTGAATCTGTTGTTGCATTTTAATTATTTAGTTTATCTTGGCTAAATTTTTCAACTTAAAAATGGTTCCAATCTAATTTGACCTAACCTCATCCAATCAAAATCCTGTGACATATGCATTGAATAATTGTGGCTGCTATTGGACCATCTATGTGACATTTTTAGGAGAGAATCGTCCCCTTCCCATAATTACTCACGTTTCATTTTTCTAATTTTAAGTGCTTAGTGTTTCAGCACACTTTGGAGGAATCACTTCTAGAAGACAAGATTTATATTATTTTAATGAAGCTTTTTATTATCCACTCAAAAATTGATTCAGCCACTTAGTTACGTGTAAACCAAGGATCAAATATACTAAATAAGAGAATCTAATAATGTGATTAGAATGTATTTTATCACCATGCATAAGAATCATTCATTATTATAACGTATAATTTATTTAAATAAACTATTTATCTTGGCTTAAAAAAAAATTGTAATATTACATGTTATTTAACTATGTATCCAATAATTGATTCTAATGATAAGGTTTTCAACGTAAGTATTTAAATTTTTTTTATGATTAACGAATTATATACAAGTTTGAATTAAACGTTAAATTTTAGACATTATTCCAGTTCAATCCTTCAATTTAAAAAAAAGATTATATTTTATTTTTCGAACAAAATTAATTTGAAGCACTTGTGAATTATAATCATAGGAACTAGATGTTCATATACGTCACATGATTTATACTATAAAAAACATTATCAAGCAATAATTGGAATATAAAGTGTAGATAGAACAAAGATTTCAATTTTTGACAAACTCAAATGGAAAATGAAGATATAAATTTTATTACTTGAAGTCAAAAAATGAAATGGGAGAATATACATAGAATGAAAAATAGGTTAATTAGCACAGGGCAGGCTCAAAGAAAAGTTGTAGATTTTTTAACAGAATCTAAACAATGTCATTCATCAAACGCTTATGGGGATGATAATGCTTTTCCAAGAAAACTCTGGAGGCACCTTCAATGGTTCTACGCCATGTCTGGAACAAATAAGGTTTGTTACCACTAAGCATGAAACAAAATTAAAATACATTTTTTTTAATTAAAATTAAAACTTCATGTCACAATAATTCACTAATAAAACTTGGCCTGATATATGGACCAAATGCTTGAAGAAAATGAAATGAATGGGCCTCACCTTGTGAATGCTTCCAAAGAGTGATGACTTGTTTCTGACCCTGAGCTGCCGGAGCACCACCGACCTCCTCCGTGTCACCTTGGACGGCAAAAGGGACCTCCTTTCCACCAGGGCGGCGCCACCAGTTGAAGGGCTGTCAGAGTCACACAATTCATCTTCGCTCCTCTTCTTCCTCCTCCTTTTTCCAGGCTCCTCACAACCCACTTCAGCAAACTTCCTGAGAAGCTCATCCGAAGATTTTTTGGTGACATGCTGAACCTTAGCAGTGTCCATTGCAAGTGAAACAATAATTGGCATAATGGGTATAGCATAAGCTATATGGTATCATGTACTATTTATGCAATGTAAGAAAATATTAACATGACTATATATGTTGTGTGGTGAGGACCGTTACGAGAAGCAAGAGTGGTAAGACATAATTGTTGAATAATGAATGAGAGAGGGAAGAAAATATAGCCGTTGGGTTCGATAATAAATTATGATTGGCTTAATTTTCCTAAGATTTTTCTTATTTTTGTCTACGGGTTGGATTTTTGTGTGTTGCGTAAGGTTGGCATGGCATGTGAATTTTCTGATGGGAACAATACAATACTAGAACTGAAAGGACCCACAATTGCGCTCTCCTTCAGTTTCAGTGCTACTTTCTGACGTACTATGAACTACCTTGTCATAATAATAAATGAAGAGCTTTATCTGAGTCACTATGGAAACAGTTACTTATTTCGTTAATTAATTCAATTTTTAAGATTGATTATTAATAGTAAAACCTGCCATGGGAAGATGTAAATTAAAGTTGGATCTGGATCGGGAGTATCGCAAAGAAAGTAATCTGATAGGTTAATATTTAATGCCAAGAACTTTTTTTAATGTGCTTTTTTATTAAAAGTTACAAAATAAAGAATGAAATTCAGAAGATTACAACTTCTAACATAAAAACCTGTGTCACATTATAAACCCTTCGATCTGATGAGGTGATGATTACCCATATTTTGCATCCGCGCCTTCCCCGCATTCGCATACATTCTCGTCGCTTATAATATAATAATAAAACTAACATTTAAAATTAGTACCTTAATAGTATTATTTTCAAAAAAATTAGTATATTGAATTCTTTTTCTATAACGAACAGAAGAAATCTATTCAATTTTCGTAGCACGCGAATGTTATGTTTGATAAGAATGAGAGATGATTTCTTCAAAATTTATAATTTATGTGTTTTTAATTTATAGAATCATCCGATCGAAAGGATTGGTACAGTTTTTGACGAAAATCTTATGTGCAAAATGACAGCGCATGAAATCTACTTTTAAAAATATTTATAGTAAGATTGTATGGTGAATTATTTATAAAGATTCTCAATTCGAGATGGATGGATGAAAAAAAAAAATATATATATATATATATATATATATATATATATATATATATATATATATATATATATATATATATATATATAATACGGACAACTCCCCCACTTCCCTATCAATTCAATTCGTTCCTAGTTCCTAGTTATTGATAATCTGCTCTTGCAAACATATAATCGTACAAATACTATGAAGGGAAACAAACCTTGTAAATTTCTGAATTGAAAAGTTATAAACAAACATCTATTGTCAAACAAAAATTCCCAAGTGTAAATAAATTATATGTTACATTGAAAACTAGTAAGAAAAATGAACATGAGGGTGAATACATTATAAGTAACTACAAAATATGACACCAAAGAAACGCAGGTAGCCTTTGTCAACTTTAACCTTCAATTTTCAGTTATTTGCTTTATGTCTCAAGATACACCAAAGGCAGCAAAATAAACAAACTTTGCATATCCTGTATTTGGAAATTACGATAAGAAATCTTATTCTTTGTGCATGATGTAAATGACATTGACCTTCAAGAGTCAAATTATTTCTGTGATTAGTTTTAGTATGTTATGAAGCATACATGTTCATTCTTCACGAGAACTACCAAAATCATTGAAGATCAAACTCTATAACACTAGACTTAGATATCAGATAAATTTAAATAAATTCTATCTGAAATTATAATAGTGAGAAAGCCACACTAATTACTGATAAAATTTAAGAGCCATTTTTACATGAGCATGTTTACATCAAAATGACTTTAGTAATGGCTTAATTGTTTTTTAGAATATTATTTTAACGTATGAGTTTTTAATTAGTTATGCCTTATAATTCAATTAGGTTCTTTAAAGTAATAAAATGTGCAAGTAAAAGAAAAAATAAGGATGTGCACGCATACCAGTGATTTCAGTTGAAAATACCTCAGAAACTTAACCCATAGATCAAGGGTAAAACTTTCCTACTCTACATTTTCTACGTTTAGAGGAGCTACAGAAACTGTTCATCCTAGAACTGCTCTAAATTAGAAGCTTACAGAGTTAATTACCAAAACAACTTCATTCTGCAGTGTTATGAGCTGAATTGAGTTCCAAAACTGAGAGCGTGACATTCGAGGTCCCTTATATTTAACTGCCAAAAAGGGAAGAAAAATTATAAGTCTGAATGAATTACATCAGATGAAACTAGCTTTGCATCACAACCAAACATTTAGCAAAGAAAACAACCCTTGAGCAGTAGTAATCCAACAACTACTATTGCTCTTGACTAATTTTCATCAAATATAGATTATTCCAGAATTGGCAACCAAGAAGGATCGAACTAAAACTTCTACCTTCTTAGACGAGAAAGTGAGAGATTACTAGCTAGGTCATGAAAGTTCATGACATTAACAAAGTAAATAACACGTGCAACTCAATTTTTCAACAAGACTTTATTATTTGATTCATTAAAAACTCAATTACAAATTTACAAGCATCACCTCTAACCCAACTGGAAACTATATCAACCATGTTACAACTGGGACTTGGAGGAAATATCACCACTATCCGAAATAGTGGAAAAAGACAATCCACATGCTAAAACCTACTTGTCTCACGTTGACCAATCTGTAACCAAAATAATTGGAAACCCCCAGTAACCAATCTCTATCTCATACCAAGACCAAAACCTTTCATGATTTTCGTAAAAGAGAACTCTGCATAGAAAGTCTTGTCAAAAGAGTAAAAACATAATTTTCAGATGTCCTTCCTTTTAATTGAACTTTTTAAAATTGCTCCATTATATAATCATAGAAGGGAGAAAAGCAGCAAGAACGATAACATTGAAATCCTAGCCGAGAAGCATATTTTAGCTTATTAATCATTTACAGAAACCCATTTTAAATTTTTAAGTAACTTTAATGAAACGCCTAAAGTGAGTCTCATTAGTATATTCACAGGGACAACAATCCATTACTTTAAACAACGGACCAGAGACATGTTACTGATGTGCTAATGGAGTAAATATATTTATACAAGTATAGAAGGCCATATCTAAGTTAAAATGAAGTGTACAAGATTTGGAGCTCACCATAACAGCAACTCCAGTTTCACTGAATTTAGGAACACATACGAGTCTGACCAACTGCCCTTCTGATCCTGCAATCAACATGCAAAATTAATTTCAGTTTTAGGGAAGGGATATTATAGTAAACGCAAATCAGAAACAAAGTTTTATTTCTACAACTATAATCTAGATTTTAGAATAAAAATACCCTTTATGACACGAGTTTCAAATTTATCTTGATTTCCAACAAAGTAAACATGAGGACAGCTCTCAATGAAGAAAGGATCCCTCTTAGTATAAGGAAAGCATCCTGAAAGACAACAGTAACCATCAGAAGTCAGAATATATAATTTTTTTGTTTTTTGGAAAAACACTATAGTTCTTCAAAAATAGCAGGTAATATAATAAATGTTCAACCCTCCAGGAAAATTGGCTGAGCTACACGGAAAAATAAGAAAATATTATAGCTAATAAAGGAAGTGTTAAAGCATTGAGGCAATATAATGTGCATACCAAGAGTATTAGGTGCAGTGGGTGCTAAATGCCTCCATCTTAATGTCCTTTCCATGAATTCAAGTTTATCTTTTGCATCCGAATACTTGTCAAGATCATCTACATTTTGACCTGATGTCCCAAGAAACCTGGAAGCAGTGCGGGGTCATGTTCAAGTATAGTACATTTAGCAGCAAAGACGTAATTTCGAGAATATACTATTTACCTGACATTATCAAGCTCAAAACAATGAGGATTTGTACAAGATCTAAAAGTATTATACATTGACGACCCAGGGAAAAGGCATCTATGCAATGACTGAAAGTGATAATTTTAGTAAAAGAGAAAAACAGCACGTTAAGATACCATGTATAAACCTTGAAAGAAAAGCATAAGAACCTGTTGTGGTAATGAGAAATTGGCAGGGTCGCTGGGTCCTGGCATGATATCCAAAGGCAAACCAGCAGCTATCTGAAAAGCAAGTAAAAGTTAAGCAAATTATTAAGAAAAACAAGGAGTCAATATAAGAATGAAGGTAAAGAAATGAACCTGACTCAACAGAATGTCTAGCTCCCTTATTGGCTCAGATATTCTTGCTAGATCCTTTGAAGCCAAATTCTACAAATATTGATGAAAAGGCCAATAAATCACATTAGGAACTATAGATTAAATGCGAGAAAATTGGTTGTATTATTTACTGAAATCAGCTCAATTAGCTATTACAAGCAAAAGGAGACTACTATGTGAATATAAACAAGAGTAGGATAATAGTTACTTAGTCAGCTACGGGTAGTTCATAGCTGTTGGGTAGTAGCCTCTAAATAATGCAGGGCAGTTGTATTTTAGAGAAGCTGGAATAATAACAGAAGTGCAGTGCACAATTTGTTCGATCAGTCACTACTATCCTCTCGATTTTGTTTTTCTTAGCAAATGTTTTAAACCTCAGATAGCAGCATGTAAGTGGCTAACTCCAAAAGCACTAGTGGGATAGCAGCATATAGGCTGCTGTCTCCAAAAACACTTTAGAGTATATTGGGATAACAGCTATTTTGAATTATTTTAGTTCATATAATGTATACTGTATATATATAAATTCTAAAAAATGATAAAAGTTACTCAAAACATGACTAACTATAAAAAGTCATTGGTGTCTGAAACAATACATACAAGTAAATAACAACCAAAGTCAAATACAAGTCTCCTAACTAGGAATGATCCATCACCATCTTCTATATGCAAGTCTTCTTTGTCATTTTCACTACTATTCCAACTATAGATTTCAATTTTCGAAATTAAACCCCCAAAAATAGCCTCCGGAAAAGCCCTATTTCTGCATTCAAAGGGATTTTAAGAATCAAAACAGCACTATTATGCGCCCACTGTGGCTGGCATTTCAGTCCACTATTTGATCTGGTATGCCAAGCCACTCCGCTGCAGCAACCCTTGTAGCAAGAAGGGGCATATCAGCACCAATATTTTGGGGGTATAGCATACTATTTAAAACTACTTATTTTGCCTTTTCCCCCCTTCTTTCGGTTTATTTCTCTTTTCCACCTAATTCTATGTCAGAAACTGAAGACCAAAATGCTACTCAAGGAAACATGCCTCTCTGCCAACAACACATGCCAAAAGCCAAAAAAAAGAGCCAAAAAATAAAATAAAATAATCTACTCCCCCAATCAGATTCCAGATTTATGCCAAAACACTACTCTTCCAATTCAGCAAAACCAACTAAGCATAGAGATCTACTTTCTCATCCTGACATAGATCTGTCAAATCTAGTCCTTCAAGAGTCCAATATATGTGTTGAGACATGTTGTTTTTCTATCTTTTTGTATTCTTTATGTATGTTCCTTAGACTAGGGTTAAGGGTTTGGGCTAAAACTCATATCCTCTCTGTTATATCTCCTTTATCTATAAATACAATGTAACAGTGCCTTTAAATATTGGATTGAAACCCTAAATAAGTTAATCAAGTTGGTATTAGAGTGGGTACGATCCCACACTGATTTTCGGTCATCCCTGTCATCTCCGACCATCGTGGGCCGCTGTTTGCTGCCAACCACCGTCTCAATTTGGTCTGGTGAAGGTGGTGTTTTGTGTGTCCCAAAGAGCGCGACCCACTCCAGCCAATCGCTCCTCCATCTACAATCCCACACGTCGTCACGTGCAGCTTCTCCAAGTGGAGCGCTCAGATGCATGTGTCCCACGCACCACCTTGTAGTGACCGGAATCAAGGCCGATTACCACAGGTCAACTCGCCGGCATCCTCCAAGCCCAATGAAGCCCTTATTTTTCTATTTTGAGACCTTTTGAAGCTAGGTCACGTGGGTACCCCTATTAGTTAGGTTTTATCTTTCATCTCTGATTCAGATGGCTTCATATAGTATTTTTTCTTTCTCTGCTACTGCCACCATAACCAGTGCCAAACTCAACTAGAAAAATTATCTATCCTAGTCTGCAGCAGTTGAACTATGGTTTCTAAGTCAAGGGTATCATGATCATTTGGAGAAAGATGTGAACTCTGTTTCTGCCTCAGAAAGGTCTTAGTGGGAGAAAATAGACTTCCAGCTATGTGCAATCTTATGGCAGTTTATGGAACCTGAGGTTCTTGAGCTTCTCAGTTCATTCAAAACCTTCTCTTTTTGGAAAAAGGCTCAAGACATTTTTGCTAATGATATTCAGCGTCTCTTAGATGCAACTCAAAGAGTGACATTTCTCAAGCAGACAAATCATGACATGATGTCTCACATTACAAAAGCTAGAGCTATTGTGGAGGAATTAAAAAGGTTTATTGTGGAAAATACATTAGAGTTAAACTCCAAACTGGATAAGTTGTATATGATCCTAATTTTGAGGAGTCTGCACTCTGATTTTGATCATGTACGTGATCAAATCTTAGTTGGTCATCAGGTTCCATCAATGGATAATCTTGTCATGAGGTTGATTCGAGTTCTCAATCTTATACAATTGAGAATCAGGTGGAGACAATTAAAACTTCAGCTATGGTTGCTCCTTGTGGTTGAGGGGGAGGACATAACAGTCGAGGACGTTGGAGTACAAAAGGTTGTCCTCAATGCTCCTATTGCAAGAAGATGGAACACACGAAAGAAAACGGATATGAAGATCTCTGATGAGGAGTATCAAGAGTTTTTGAAGTTCAAATCAGGAAAATTCAATAGCCAGGGTCAATCTTCTTCAATGCCTAGTATTTCAATAGTATGCATTTATCAATCGGTGGAAGGTCAGAACCCATGGTTTCTTGATTCAGGTGCCTCTGATCATATATTTGGTAATAGTTCCTCATTTTCCTCCATGTCCTATCCTAAAATTTCTCATCTGATTATTGTAGCTAATGGATCTAAAGTAAAGTCACAAGGAATTGGTCATGTTCCTTTAACCCCTTCTCTGAATTTAAAATTTTGTTCTTTTCATTCCTAATTGCTCTTATATGATTTCTCTAAGTCAATTGAATCGTTCTTTGAATTGCTTTGTAACCTTTAATTTCAATTCTTTTGTTATTCAGGAATATGGTACGGGCCGTTTGATTGGAGAAGGACATGAACTACGTGGTATGTACTATCTGAATCCAAGTCCTTCCGTGTCATGTATTGCTTCTCCTACTCCTAAACTTTTGGGTCACTCAAGTTTACCAAAGTTGAAAGTAATGGCTCCTAATCTCAAACATCTTCGGGGTTTAGAATGTGAATTTTGTCAATTAGAAAATCATGTTAGATCCACCTTTCCTAAACATTCTGAAACTCGATATAATTTTTCTTTTTCAAATATTCATTCTGATGTTTAGGGACCGACTCGTGTCTCTTCATTTAGCTTCCGATATTTTGTAACCTTTATTGATGAATTTTTCAAATGTACTTGGGTTTATTTAATGAAAGACAGATATGAAATTTTGTCCATTTTTGTGTCCTTCCATGAAATTAAAAATCAAATTGGAAAGATAATTAAAGTTCTCATAAGTGATAATGCCAAAAAATATTTTTCAGCCTCCTCTTCTTTTTTTATCTTCCCAAGGCATTTTACATCAGTCAACTTGCCCTCACATTCCATAGCAAAATGGTATTGTAGAAAGGAAAAATAGACATCTTATTGAGATTGCACGTTCTCTAATGTTGAATGCCAATGTCCTTGTTCATAATTGAGGAGATGCAATTCTCACTGTTTATTTTCTGATCAATCGGATGTCATCTTCTCTTCAAAATCAAATTCTTCATTCCCTTATCTTTCTAGATGATCCTCTTTATCATGTGTCTCCTTGTGTATTTGGTTGTACCTATTTTGTACATAATATCTCTCCAGGTCTTGATAAGCTAAGCGCTAAGGCCATTAAATATGTCTTCTTAGAATACTCTCGCCTCCAAAAAGGGTACAAATGTTATTCTCCATCCATCAAAAGGTATTATATGTCTATTAATGTCACATTCTTTGAGGAAACACCCTTCTTTTCTTCCCCCATGGAGGATGGTTCCTCTATTCAAAATGTTTCTCCTATACCCTCATGTGATCCACTTATAATACCTAATTCTTCTCCAATTCAACCTACAGATCTTAATCATTCTCCTCCTCTTCTTACATATCACCGCAGAACCCCACCTACACCTTTACCAGATTCTCCAGATAATCGTTATTTAGAATCTTCTCCATTAGCTTTCCATACCATGGATCCTTCAACCTCCTCTTTCACTTCTAATTCGGGATGGCCTATTGCACTTAGAAAAGATATTTGTTCCTCTCGAAATCCCTTTCCTATTTATAATTTTTTAAGTTACCATCGTTTGTCTCCTTCGTATTCCTCTTTTATTGTCTCTTTGGCTGACACCACTATTCCTAATACTGTCTATGAGGCTCTTGATCACCATGGATGGCAACAAGCCATAATTGATGAAATACGGGCTCTTGAGCACAATGGCACTTGGGAGTTTGTCCCTTTTCCTCCTGGCAAAAAGGTTATGGGCTTGTAAGTGGGTCTATGCAGTTAAAGCTAATAATAATGATAAAGTGGATCGTCTTAAAGCTCATTTAGTAGCTAAAGGCTACACTCAAATATATGACCTCGACTACTACGATACCTTCTCTCCAGTAGCTAAGATTTCCACTATTCGTCTTTTCCTTGCTATAACTGCTAGTCGTCATTGGCCACTTCACCAACTGGACATTAAAAATGTCTTTCTTCATGGTAATCTTGAGGAAGAGATTTATATAGAGCAACCTCCTGACTTTGTTGCTCATGGGGAGTCTGATTTAGTGTGCAAGCTACACTAGTCTCTATTGCTTGAAATAGTCATCCCGGGCTTGGTTTGGGAAATTCAATCATGTTGTGCACTTGATTGGCTTGAAAAGGGATGAAACAGATCACTCAGTGTTTTATTGTCATTCTTCTTTAGGCAAAAGTGTGTATCTTATGGTTTATGTTGATGATATTGTTATTACAGACAATGATTATAATAAGATCAACCAACTGAAGAATCATCTATGTGCTCACTTCTAAACTGAAGATCTTGGTCAATTGAAGTATTTCCTTGGTATTAAAGTGACTCAGTCAAAGGAAAGTGTGATCATTTCTCAAAGAAAGTATGCTCTTGACATTCGGAGACAGGTTTAACAAATTGTAAACCCATTGATACCCCAATGGACCCTAATCAGAAATTGATAGAAGATAAAGGAGAAAAGTTGTCAGACCCAGAAACATACAGGAGGTTGGTTGATAAACTCATTTATCTTATTATTTCCCGACCGGATCTTTCTTATGCAGTTGAAGTAGTTAGCCAATGCAAAATACTTGTACGATGCCTTGATTCACATTTTGAGATATGTTAAAAGGACCCCAGGACAAGGATTGTTATATGAAGATAAAGGTAATGCTCAAATTCTAGGTTATTGTGATGCAGATTGGCTGGTTGTCCCATTGATAGAAGATATACTATTGGGTATTGTATCTTTGTTGGAGGGAATTTGATTTCTTGGAAAAGTAAAAAGCAAAATGTTGTTACTCGATCTAGTGCAGAAGCTGAATATAGATCTATGGCACTTGCTACCTGTGGACTTTAGTGGATCAAACAACTCCTTCAAAAATTAAAATTTTGTGATACTGGGCAAATTAAGTTGTTTTGTGATAATCAGGCAGCTTTCCATATTGCCTCCAACCCAGTGTTTCATGAAAGAATAAAGTATATCGAGATTGATTGTCACTTTGTTAGAGAAAAGTTAGTGTCAAAAGAAACTTGTAACTGAAATTGTAAGCTTCAATGAATAACTAGCAGACATTTTAACTAAATCCTTGAGAAAAACCTAGGATGCAGTTCATTTGTTCCAAGTTTAGTGCATATAATCTATATGTTCCAGCTTGAGGGAGAGTGTTGAGACATGTTTTTTTATCTTTTTGTATTTTCTATGTTCCTTAGACTAGGGTTAAGGGTTTGGGCTGAGGTCTATATCCTCTTTGTTGTATCTCTTTTATCTATAAATATAATGTAACAATGCCTTTAGACGTTGCATTGAAACTTACAATGTAATAGTGCCTTTAGATGTGCCTTTAGACTCTGAATTGAAACCCTAAATACTGTTCACGCAGATGGAAGAGCGCAGATTGGTCGTGTTTGTATCCACCAATTTGTGGAGAAAGACGTGGACAAATTTGAGGGAGAGTGGGAAAGAATAACCCTCGTGTACATGAGGAGAAAAACAATGAAAGAAAGGGGAAGGAGAGTGAAGTTACACTCTTGCCCTCCTCTCACAATCCATAAGCAGTGAAATAATGCAACATTCATGTGGCTATATGCATGCATGCAGCGCACCCAGGGAATCGTTTCAGAGGTTGCATGCACCCCTTTCATGTAGAGAATCATGGTTGTGCTTGCAGAGGAAATCGTTATAACTCAACCATAGCCCTCACATGCAACTACTGTCCTAATGAGCGAGAGTGTCATTAAATACATGAGAGGGTTGTTCATGGAGGTGAGTTGTTGTCTTGTGTGTGAGGTGAGTTCGTGTAGTTCGTTTGTGAGAGGTGAGTTGGTTTGGTGTGTGGTGTGCGTTGGTGGTGGTGGTGGTGCTTGGTCAAGAAATCAGTTGAGAGAGGCGGAGAGAAAATCACAGAGAATTGATTCTCGCATCTTTGATGGAGAATTGATTCTCCCTTCTTTTGAAGGCATGAGAATCAATTCTCCCTGAGAACATAATTGATTCTCACTTCTTTCACACATGGATAATCGATTCTCCCTGAGAGCATAATTAATTTTCGCTTCTTTCACGCGTGAAGAATTGATTCTTCCTGAGACCATAATCGATCCCCGGCCTCCTTTTACATGGATGCATGTGATCATTGATGAGTATTGCCCTGGTTTGTAGGTTCGATATGAGTTTAGTTTATGTGTTATTGCTGGTCACTGTGGGTGGTGTTGTGGCTGGTCATTGTGGGTGTTGTTGTTCTCGATCCATAGAGAATCAATACTCTGAGAGCTAATAAAACGAGAATCTATTCTCTCTTGGTTTGAATGCATGACAATCTATTCTCTCTTGGTTTGAATGCATGAGAATCGATTTCCGCTTCCCTTAAATACATGCAGAATCGATTATTTGTTAAACCTTAATCGATTCTCGATCTTATGAGAATCAATTCTCCTTCAACAAGAAATATTAAATTATGAGTGAGAATGAGGAGAATCAATTCTCTTTCAACCATAATTAGTTTTTAAATCATTTATTAATATCAAATCATACATATATTTAATGTATTTAATTACTATTACTAAATAATAAGTTAGGTTTGTTATATATATTTTTAGTATTAATAATGTTATTAATATATTTCTCACCGAGTCAGAGTTGAGGAGAATTGATTCTCCTTCTCAAATCATTTATTATAATTGATAGAGAGAATTGATTCTCACTTTGAGAGAATCAACCTCCTTCATTCTCAACTTTGTTATTAATATTAAACTATAGTTATATTTAATTATTACTATTAAATAATAATTTGGGTTTGTTATACATGTATTAAGTATTAATAATGTTATTATTATATTAATATTAATAAGGATTTTATTTATTAGTGTATTAACGATAAATTAATAATTTTATAATTATCAATTATTTAAAATATTTTATAATATATAAATATTTGGTATGATTTTGTAAGTTAATTGTAAAATATAATTATAAATTTTAGTAAAAAGAATGTATAAATTAGATAATCAACGTCAAAAAAATATATTATTAATATTAACAATATTGTAAATATTAATTTTAATTACAGAAAAAAATATTAATATAATAATAATATTGGTGTATTAACCCTTTAAACAATGTAATAAAAAAACTAGTTGAAATAATAATACATAAATAAATAAATAAGAATCTAAATTTATTATTTTTATAATGCGTTTAGTTTTATATATTTTTACCTTATATAATTATTTTTATATGAAATCTACTATAATAATTATTTTAAAAATTATAGGAAGATGATTTTTAATTACTAATTTACAATAATTTTAAGGTGAAACAATTTTAAAAAATGTGGGTAAACAGTTTTTTAAACTTTTTTATTTTAAATAATAACTCACATCTTATTTTAAGATAATTTATCTTAATTATATTTTATTTTAAATTATATTTTTAAGACACGGGTAAAATTGTAATCTTACAATTTTATTAACTAAAACAATTTTTTTAATCTATCAAACCAATCATATCATTCACAAACTTATCTCCAATTTCTTATTAATTTTCTCTTAATCCAAACAACTTCACTTTTACCTCTATTTCCCTTCAAATCCACTCATTTTCACTCCCTCAAATCTATCTTTAAATCCAAACACAGACTTAAATATCAAAATATAAAAACAGCCTACGAATTCAACATTTTCACAAGCTTGCAAATTGTATGCATAAGGATTAGTGCCAATAAACTGTAAAGAAAATTGAAATACATACATGTGCAATGGGTGTCGTCTAGCAACTGGATGTCAAGATTATATAATCAACCAGAGCATGTAAATCTAAAATGCAAGCCTAACAAGTTAAGAAGTGGCGGGATAACTTAGTTCCTCTCATCTAATTACTCATTAACACGTATCAGATGATTATGTTATATTTCTCCACAAAAGTGAACTACTACGGCAACTAAACCACATAAGAGAGAGCAAGTGCAATCAGGGAATTCAGATGCCAGAGAAAATTAATTGGTGGTGATACAATATAAATTACAAGAGACGAGTAGGTGATCATATAAAAGAGTTTACTTTATAAGAAAAAAAAGGTAAAACTAATGCTCATATTGAGAGAATTGTTTAAACTTGTTAACCAAAGAGATATTAGCAGAGGAAACCAAGTAGAAAAAGATGCATTATCTTTAAAAAAACTTGTCATTACAACTGTTAAGATATTAGTGCCGGATACTAATCTATTATATTACTTCTATAATACCACAATTGTCATATTATACTACTCTTTCCCTATAATACATAGTAAATGACATGCAGAAGTAAGCTTTTCTCTCTTGTTTTTCTTTCCCCTCTCTCTCTCCCCCTATACAGTAACATACATACCTGTCCATTAAGAAGTCTTTGAGGTATCTCCACTAAATTTCCAGCAAAGATAAGTCGAACAATTTGTGATGCAATACTTTGCTCCTGTGTAATTTGTCACTTTTCATTAGTTAAAACTTAATGTTGCATAATTATCAACAAGACAAGAGGAGGAAAAAACAGGACAAACTTTCTCATCTCCTAAATGCCCTGTAATATGATCAACGAGAAGCTGAAACTGCAGAGGATTAGAGCTGCTGCTCCCAACACTTAACCCTGACACAAGAACAACATATTTGTCTTCCCCTGTAGAACCAAAATAAAAGAAAATTCAAGCCAATAATTTTACTAAAATGGGAAATTTTAATAACAAATACTGAAGTATGGAGGATCAAATATGTACAGTTAAAAGAACAAAATAGCAAGGCGGTTGCTCATTATCTGTGCATTAACACAAGAAGGAGGAAATAAAGCATACAACAAGCAGCATATTTGAATAGGACTTCTTTTCAAAGTTTGACCATATAAAAAGATAAACTAGTCTCTTCAACTCAAACAAATATAATTAAAATCTTACGCAATCAAATGGAAAGAGACTATGATAAGAGAGGGGAAAAAGAAGACAATTTATGATTGCTCTCAACAATAAATAATTATTAGTTTGTATTCTGTTTTGATTACTGTGCATTCCATTATTTGTATTCTGTTATGATTACTGTGCATTCCGTTATTTTTCATCGCTGTATATAAGCCAACTTTCATTCATCAATAAAGTAATATACCGTTGATTTGGTCATTTGTTATTCAATATATGAATATGTTCATTTCTGTTATGGTATCAGAGCTCTTCATATGAAGAGCTCTGCTGTGCACTCAACTTTTCTTCTTTATCTTCCTATTATTACTTCCATTCTTTCTTATCAACAATGAGTGGGGGGAATGAACAAATACCTAGCATGGATAGCTTCTTATACCTCCATCCGAGCGAGAATCCAGCAGTTACTCTCGTCTCCCCGGTTTTAGATTCCACTAACTATTATTCATGGAGCATATTCATGATAACAGCCTTGAGTGCTAAGAATAAAATAGAATTTGTAGATGGAAGTGCCCCTGAACCACCAAAGACAGATCGGATGCATGGTGCATGGCGTCGCTGCAACAACATGGTTATTTCCTGGAATGTTCATTCCGTATCTACTTCAATTCGGCAAAGCGTTTTGTGGATGGATAAAGCAAAAGAAATTTGGCGCGATTTGAAGTCCCGATATTCGCAGGGTGATCTTCTTCGGATCTCGGATCTTCAGCAAGAAGCATCATCAATGAAGCAAGGTGATCTCTCTGTCACGGAATTATTTACAAAATTACGCATTTTATGGGATGAAATAGAAAATTTCAGGCCAGATCCTATATGTTCTTGCCGTGTGAGGTGCTCTTGTTCTATTCTCGTTATCATTGTACAACGCAAACTCGAGGATCGGGTTATGCAGTTCCTACGTAGCTTGAATGAGCAATATACGAATGTTCGATCACACATCTTGCTTATGGACCCCATGCCTATGATCTCAAAGATATTTTCCTATGTTGCACAGCAAGAACGACAACTATTAGGTAACAATATCATAACAAATATTAACTCTGAATCTAAAGGAAGTTTAATCAATGCTATAAATTCCATTTGTAACTTTCGTGGACGATCTGGACACATGGAGAGCGTTTGTTATAGAAAACACGGGTTCCCTTCCAATTATGATGGGAAGAACAGAGAGAGCAATATCAAAAATGGAAAGACATGCACTCATTGTAGAAAGAATGGTCACACTGTTGATGTGTGTTATAGAAAACATGGATTTCCCCCTGGCCACAAATTTTATAATGCAAAGACCACTGCAAATAGCATAGTGATAGTTGATAACAAAGTCGCTGATGACCAAACACAGCACCATGAGTCTCAAGAGGTTCGTTTCTCACCTGAGCAGTAAAAAGCATTGCTCGCTTTAATCCAACAACCATCTCTTGGAAACTCAACATCTTTTCCATCTCATGCCAACCAAATTGCTTTTGTTTCCTCATGTTCCACTCATCATGCACCAACCTCAGGTATATCTCACACACACTCACTTCTTGGGTATTGGACTCTGGAGCGACTGATCACGTCTCCTCTTCATTAACTCTTTTTCATTCTTACAATCAAATCAATCCTATTTCGGTCAAACTACCAAATGGTCATCATATTCGTGCTACCCATTCAAGCATCATATATTTATCTGCTTCCATAATTCTGTTTGACATCCTTTATATACCTTCATTCACTTTTAATCTCATTTCTATCTCTAAGCTTGTTTCCACTACTAACTGTAAACTATTTTTTCTTCCACTTCATGTATTTTGTAGGATACGAACACTCAAGCGAGGATTGGTACAGTTGAAGTGAGAGACGAACTTTATCATCTTACACCCAACCACATCACAACACATGCCATACACTCCACTATTCTTCATCCAAAATGTAACATAATTCCTATAGATCTTTGGCACTTTCGCATGGGCCACCTATCTTCTGAACAATTACATCTCATGCAATCTTGTTATCCTTTCTTACGCAGTGATAAAAATTTTACATGTAACACATGCCACTATGCAAAACATAAAAAGTTGTCTTTTCCTTCTAGTAACTCACATGCATCTAGTTGTTTTGATCTCTTGCATATGGATATATGGGGACCATGTTCGAAACTTTCCATGCATGGGCATCTTTATTTTCTCACCATCGTGGATGACCATTCTCGTTTTACATGGATTTATCTCATGCACACAAAAACTGAAACTCGTAAAAACATTACAGATTTCATTGCATACATTGAAACTCAATTTAACAGCAAGGTCAAAAGCATACGAACTGATAATGAATCTAAATTTTTCATGCATGATTTCTTTGCCTTAAAGGGAATAACTCATCAAACAACTTGTGTTGAAACCCCTCAATAAAATGGGATTGTTGAACGTAAACATCAACATCTTTTAAATGTCACACGTGCTCTTTTATTTCAAGCTAATCTTCCACAAAGTTTTTGACATTTTGCTTTACCTCACGCTGCATACTTAATTAACTACATTCCTACTCCATTTACACAACATATCACCTTATGAAAAACTTCATGGCAGCCCATGTGATATTTCCAATCTTCATGTCTTTGGATGTTTATGTTACATTAGCACTCTTAAATCTCATAGACAGAAACTTGATCCAAGAGCTCATCCATGCATTTTTCTCGGGTTCAAACCACATACTAAAGGATACCTTGTTTATGATCATCATTCCCATAATATTACTATATCACGAAATATCACCTTTTACAAAGACCATTTCCAATCCCATTAACTGAAGCACAAAACACAAATAATATCTCTCCTTCCCCCGTCCCATTCACATATGATAACATACAATTTGATCTTCCCTCTCCAGTTTCACATAGCTCCTTACCAACATCACCCTCTACCCACCCTACTAATAATTCTCTTCCTCCCTTACGTCGTTCGACAAAAGTCACACATCCACCCACTTATCTTCAAGACTACCACAGTGCTCTCACTTCAACCAATGTTGCCACCTCGCCAAGAGTTCGATAACCTCTCAACTCAGTCTTTTCTTATTCTCGTCTCTCTTCATCTTATCAACATTTCATTATGTCTATTTCTGCCAATACTGAACCCACTTCTTATGTTGAGGCTTCCCGTCATGATTGCTGGATTAAAGCAATGCAAGTTGAATTACATGCTCTTCAAATGAATCACACTTGGACTCTCACTACCTTACCACCTCATAAAACTGCCATCGGGTGTCATTGGGTGTATAAAATTAAATACAATGTTGATGGCTTTGTTGAGTGGCATAAAGCGCGTCTAGTCGCGAAAGGTTATACACAAAAGGAAGGATTGGACTTTCTAGATACTTTTTCACCTATGGCTAAGCTCACCACCATTCGCGTATTGCTAACCTTAGCAACTCTTAATGATTGACATTTGAAACAACTGGATGTAAATAATGTTTTTCTTCACGATGAGCTTAATGAGGAGGTATATATGCGCTTCCTCCGGGTCTCTCCGCTGACAATCCTAATCAGGTTTGTCGTCTTCAACGTTCTTTGTATGGGCTCAAACAAGCCAACAGACAATGGTTCACTCATCTATCCTCTTTTCTTCTTTCTCATGACTACAAACAATCTCCTGCTGATCATTCTCTCTTCCTGCACTTCAATGGTAACACTTCTACAACTCTTCTTGTCTACGTTGATGATATTGTTTTAACAGGAAACAACATTGATGAGACACGTCACATCACGACTCTCCTCGGTCAAGCTTTCAAAATAAAAGACCTTGGCAATCTGAAGTTTTTTTTGGCCTTGAAGTTGCTCGATCTCGTAAAGGAATTCATCTTTGTCAACGGAAATACACTGTAGATATCCTCTCTGGCTCCAGTTTGCTTGGTTCTCGCCCCACTTCAACCCCAATGGATTATTCAACTCGTCTGCATGCTACCTCAGGTAATGCGTTATTTGCTTAATCTTCATCTTCCTATCGCCGCTTAGTTGGACGTCTTATCTACCTAACAAATACGCAACCAAACATAGCCCATGTTGTTCAACAACTAAGCCAGTACATGGCCAATCCCACTACTGCTCACTCCCAAGCTGCATTTCGTGTTCTACGTTATCTCAAAGGTACCCCAAGTTTTGGTATTTTTCTCTCTGCCACAAGTCCTCTTCAACTCAAAGCTTTCTGCGACTCTGACTAGGCCGGATGTAGTGATTCTAGACGCTCCATCACAGGCTTTTCCATCTACCTTGGTGGCTCTCTTATTTCTTGGTGCTCAAAGAAACAGTCTATTGTATCCCGCAGCTCCTCTGAAGCTGAGTATCGAGCTCTAGCTTCAACAACATATGAACTTCAGTGGCTGTCTTATCTTCTTCAAGATCTTCATATTCCCTTTGTTCAACTGGCTATTCTCTATTGTGATAATCAGTCAGCAATACATATAGCTTCTAATCCAGTGTTTCATGAAAAAACTAAGCATATGGATATCGATTGTCACTTTATCCGTGAAAAAGTCAACAGTGGTCTTCTAAAGCTCCTGCCTATTTCCTCTTCCATGCAGCTCGCAAACCATTTTACTAAAGTCTTATCTCCATCCATATTTCAAGGTCTTTGTTCCAAGCTGGGAACGATGAATATACATTCCCTGCTTGAGGGAGGGCTCTCAACAATAAATAATTAGTTTGCATTCTGTTATGATTACTGTGCATTCCGTTATTTTTCATCACTGTATATAAGCCAGCTTTCATTCATCAATAAAGTAATATACCGTTGATGTGGTCATTTGTTATTCAATCTATGGATCTGTTTATTTCTGTTAATTGCTGACTATGAATAATAAAATTTTCAAACAGCACAAATCCTTCTGACAAAATATTAAACAGATAACGGAAACATCACTTCATGCAAGAAAGCGGGATGCTAATTCACCAAATATTCTTTCATCCTCAAAGGGGAACTCAAAATCTACCATGTGCAGCTAAGATCTGGCTAAAATAATCCCATAAATATGTCATGGGTTCCTTTATTGAATTATAAAATGCAAAGGATGCAAGAGGTACCTGATTTAAGGGGAAATTCTATCTGTGGTGGTAAGCCAGCATCTAGTACATCCTGAACCAAAAAGTCACCTGCCCCACTTTCTTTTCCAAGTAAAGCAACCACAATACCTGTTGCAGACAATGTTAGCATAATATTATCATGTCCAGATGACAGTCATTTGTATGGCAGGCGAGTTGCATTCCTATAAAGTAGCCACATATTTTATTTCTAGACACCTCAGATAAATATTAAACAAATATATGAAAACAAAGCAATCCGAAAAGAAAGAAGGGAAAACAAAAAAATTGTGGACACCGAACTTAATGTTTTGGAATTAACATGCTCATGTTTAATAATTGCCTTCTTATCACAAAATCTATTTTACTAAATCAAGATAAGTTGTTCATCATATAGACCTGTTACATATTCAGATGGCGGAATGATATTTCCATTGAGCTTAACCCGTCCACTTTCATCTTCCAAAACTAGGTAATCATCTGAGTGCACGAAGTTACGTGGCTGGACAAGGGGAACCACTGATTTCTGTATATTATTAGCAGAAAAATAGTGAAATACAGCACCGTGGCACATTATTGTCAATTATCATAAAAAAAAATAAAACAAAAAATTCACCCTTATATATCAAATCCAAGTCCTCACTCTTGAGAATAGGATGACTGACGTATATACTCTTCATAGTCCCATAACACAACACAACTTAAAAGCTTCCATATTAAACCAAGTAAATATTTTTTCCCTCTTTGATTAATAATTCAACCAAAAAACATTTTTTAGTTCTCTGCATTTCTTTAACAAATACTCAAATTCCTACAGCTTACATTACGCAGAACAACATATTTACGAATCATTGAGAACACAAGTATGCTATTTTTTAGATTTTTTGGAAACCGAGTTTCAAATGCCAGGATTTCTATGTTTATCAACACTAAAATATTTTTCCATCAATTAAATTAATCTTCAAACTTAATTTCTATGTCCACGCTGTGAACCAATCAGACATCAACATTTATACGACTTTTAAGATAGGTAGTTTAAAGATCAGCAAATTATCATACATGACAATGACAATCTGTGATTGATTGAACATTTAAAAAACATTTACACCGTCAAAGCACATACTATGTACTCTCAATATTCTCTAATATTTTCTTAATTACATTTTTACAATTGACTTAAAATTTAAAAGCACACATGCAACAGTAGAGATACTCATAAAGTATAAACATAGGTTAACCTGCTTAGAATACTCATCAAGTATGCAAGGTTTGAGCTTCATGTGTTTGTAGAGGGTTCCAACAATGACACATTCCTTGCTCTCTTCCAATCCCAGCACCGTGCAAACTGTGCGAAACATAAACCGGTAAGCAGTTAATTGAAACCTCAAAACAACGAAACACCACAACTGACACAAATAGTTTTAAATTACCCTAAGTGTAGTAGAAGAATAAGGGGTAAGGTACCAGGAAAATTAGGTTTCCAATGAGGAACGAGGGAATACAAAAGGGTTCGCATCAAACGAAGACGTGTGAAATAAATATGGCTGTATTGCTGACCCTGATACATCTCTTCCCTAATTTCGAAAGTTTCATCCTGCGTCCACAGAAATTAAATTAACACATTCATCATCAAAATCACAATACAAAGGAAGCAGAGAGAGAGAGATAAAGAGCATTGACCAGAGAGTCATAGGTACACTGTACTCGCTCCATTCCCATGGCGGGAACACTTCCCTCGCTTCAACTCGGTCTTTCAACGCTGCAGATAATGACAACTTATAAATACTCAATTTCTGCAATTTATTGTTTATATTATTAAAATCTGCAATTATTCTGGTAATTAACGGGTGTGTAGCTTAAACCCGTAATTTATTTTGCATAATGACTAATGAATTGGTTCAAATCCTTTAAGATATGGATAATCAAATCCAATTCAAAATTAAAAAAAAAAAACATTATTTCGAAATTTAACCAATTTTTACTTAATTGATAGGTTTAGTTTGTGATTCAAAAATAAAATAAAAAAATATCATTTAATAAAATAATAAAGTAATTGAAATTAAGTAATTATATAATTATATAACTACATATATATTTCTTTATAATTAAAAAAAAAAAGACGATGATTTTGAAAAATAAACTAATTTTTTATATTTTATTATTATTTAATTCATAAAAATAATATATTTACTTATCACTTTTCTTTTTACATATTTTCATCCACCGATCAGTCCGGAGCGGATTAGTCCAGTGGTTTATTTTTAAAAATATTTATATATTAAAATAAAAATAATTATAATTAAAAATATTATATTTTTTATATTATTAAAATATATAAATATATTATAATATTATAATTTAAATTATAAAAATTAATTAATTAAATTTAAAGTATTTATTATAATTAATTATTTTAACGTATAAATATAATAATTATTTTAATTTATTTAATAAAAATATTAATTAATATATATAAATTTAAAAATAATTAATATAATTAAATATATATTTTATATTTATTTACATATTGATCTGTCAGTCAATTCTTTAATGGGTGGATTGGGACGTGCAATTTATCTTACTATGATAGATCACTCTCCCTCGTATTATTTACTGATTAAAAGATAGATAGATAAAAAACGTAATAGATTAACCTATTTTATCATGATATAAATTGTAATCTATAAAATTAAAATTTTATGTAAGTTGTTTGTATGTGATGATGGTAAAATCAATTAAACTTAAAATAAATTTCAATATATAAGGATGTTGTTAAGATGTATTTTATAAAATAAAAGGCACAAACAATTTTAATCACCTATGTTTCAACTAAAAGTTTAATATATTTTTATGTAAAAGATTTATAAAAAAAAATATAATTCAATATTTTGATTAGTTCTTAAAATTAATATAAGGCTAACATCATTTTTTTATTATTATATTTATACTATATATATGGGTGTTATTTTTTTATTATTATTTGTATTATAAATATAATGATATATAAGTACAAATATAGGTTGTACTCTATGAGTCAATTTGATCATTATGAGTTCGAGTTAAATTATATTTGTTTTGTTTTTTTTATTTTATTAATAGATTAAAAATAAATTTGACCCACCTAATTTACAGGTTCACTTTGATAAATAAATAAGAAAGTTCATGACTCAAAATTTTGTAAGTTAGGTAAATTTATAATTTTAATCCTCAAAAACTTTCATTAAATATATTTTATATTTATAATTTTAATTTTTTATTTTTTTATATTATTTTATCTTTTCATATTTATTTATTATTTATTAATAATCTATTATTTAACCTCAATAAATTATTAGTCAAAATTCACCATATTATTTTTCTAGAATTTTATTTGTGCAATAATGTAGAAATAAAGTCAATCATCTTATTAAAAAACCAAAATTTCTAAAAATAAACTCTAACATAATATTTTGAATGAAAACACAGTTAAAATAGGTGTAACTTTCTACCTTAAAAGAAAATATATTAATTTATTATGATGTATTATTTTAAAATAATTTATCATTAATTTAATTTTATAAAAAATTAATAAATTTTAAAATATACATTCTCTTTTATTATTTATTTTGTTTTATTTTATTATAAAATAATTATTACAAATTTAAAAACTAAATTAAAAAATTTCAATAAAAAAAATATTTTCAATAATTAATATTCTATTTAAACATCTCAATCAACAACTGGTTATATATGTTATTATTGTTTTTAATAAATATTTTTATTGACATATAATATTTGGCCTTTTTGAACTATTTTAAAAAATATCAAATTTTTAGTTTTGAAAAATAAAAAAATTGTTTGATAATTATTATCAGTTTTATAATTTTGGTTTTTTATTTTTAATTTAAAAAAAAAAACAAATTTTGATAAAATATATTTATTGTTTTCAATTTTTTTTTGTTTTTATTGATAATATTTACGTTTTTATTAATAATTATACTATTTATATCTTATCCCTATCAAAAAATAAATGGTACATTTTTATTTTGGTTGAACTATATATAATTAAGGGTGTTTGGAAGTATATTAAAATGTGATTTAAACTAAATATAAAATTTAAATGTAATTTATTTTTCAAATAAATTAAATTAAATTAATATTTTGTAATTTAATTTAGATGATTTTTTATAACTTTTTTTTATAAATTTATTAAATTTATTATAATAAAATAATTATTTAATAAAAAATGTATTATAAAAATGTTATATATAATTAATTATAACATTTATAATTTTAATTTATTTCTATATGTTTTTACATCAATTTAAAAATAATAATATATGTCCTCAATTATAAAAAAATAAAAAAAAACTAAGCTCACTTATAAAAACTGTCATGTTATGTTTGAATTTAAATAATATATTATAAATTCAATTTAGTTTTGATTTTAATTGGTTTCTTATTATGAAATCGAAATCTAATAGTTTTAAAATCTTTTAATATAAAAATTTAAAAAAATTAGTTTTGATTATTTTTTAAATGTTTTTATTGATTTTTTTTTGTTTTTTCGGTTAGTTTGATTTTGAATACGTAACAATAATAGATCATTTAGACTCACTTAAAAATAAAATAAATAAGATAAAAAATAAAAAATGTATTTTATAAAGTGGGGAATCCTAATAGAGGTACTAGTCATCTTAATCCCTAAATTTAAATATTAATCATCTTAATCTAAAGATATCTAAGCAGTTTTCAATTTTCAATAAAAAAGTTAAGTGAAAAGAATCTTTGGATAGATATACATGAGAGACATCTTATAAAAAGATAAAGATATATATATATATATATATATATATATATATATATATATATATATATATATATATATATATATATATATATATATATATATTTGTTTGTTTTTGTTTCCTAGTCTCTTTATCATTTTGCCCGTGTTTGGATTACAAATGTATTGTTCACGTAAAAGAGTGAAAATTCTTTGTGTATACATCAATCGGTTTGAAGATATGATGTGACCATGAACTATGATAAGGGATAGAGCAAGGGAAATAAAGGAAGTTCTTCAACAAATATTGTTGGTTAACCAAATTATGTTTTGAATTAATCAATTAATGGACTTTAGTTTGATTTTGTTTTAAGTTGTAATAAGGGTCCAATTGAAAATTTAATCATCAGCCTTTGGGAGACCAAAGGGTGCATAGCTGATTGACTTTTGATTGCCACAGTTTCAGATACAATCAGTCATTAAGTAGTTTCAATTCCTACGATAATGAATCATTATTAGCCTTTATTTGTTTTCATTAAATAGTTTTCAATTCATAGATTAATGGGTTATTATTAGTATTTATTTTCTTTTATTGAGTCTTTTGTAATTCTGATGGCAACGCTTCTATAACAAAGGACTTTCACATCCTTTGTGTGTTGCCTCCCTTAGAAAGTGTGATTCTTTCCTTCCACCTTCTTTTTTAATTCCTAAATTTCTTAAAAGGTTCTAACCCTAAAGATCCTAAATCACCCCTTGTGATTCATATCATTTGGTATTCAGAGCTCCAGTTTAAGGGTTTAAACATCAAATTGATGGCAGAAGAGGAAAATTACAATCAAGAAACAGGAATTAGTCCATTTCAAATGAGAGTATTGGTACAACATTTGGAAGGATTAATGATACGACGTAACAATGAGCTCCATGGTAGATTGAACCGATTGGAGAATAGAAATTCTGAAGACGAAGAAGAAAGGAGAAATAGGAGAATGAATGATGGAGTAGCAAGACCAAGTAGGCTTGAAGGAGTCAAGTTTAACATTCCTCCGTTCAAAGGAAAAAGTGATCCGGAAACATACTTGGAGTGGGAGATGAAAATAGAGCATGTTTTCTCATGCAACAATTATGAGGAGACCCAAAAGGTGAGGCTTGCAACAACGAAATTTTCTGACTATGCTCTTGTTTGGTGGAACAAACTACAAAAGGAGAGAGATAGAAATGAAGAGTCAATAGTTGATACATGGACTAAGATGAAAAGGATCATGAGGAAGCGGTATGTGCTGGCTAGTTATACAAGGGACTTGAAATTTAAACTCCAAAAACTTACTCAAGGCAACAAAGGGGTTGAGGAGTATTTCAAAGAAATGGACATGCTCATGATTCAAGCAAAGATTGAAGAAAATGAAGAGGTAACTATGGCCCGATTTATTGGTGGTTTGAATATTGATATATGTGATATTGTTGAGTTGCAAAAGTTTGTTGATATGGAAGATTTACTTCATAAAGCAATTCGAGTGGAGTAACAACTTAAAAGAAAAGAAGTGACTAAGAAGAGTTCTACCAACTTTGGATTTTCAAGTTGGAAGGACAAAGACAAAAAAGATGGGATTGTTACTTCTAGTAGTTTCACACCTATTCCTATAAAGACTCATTCAAAATATGAAAAACAACCCTCTAAAAAAAGTAGAGATGTGAAGTGTTTCAAGTGTCAAGGCCTAGGACACTATGATTATGAGTGCCCTAACACAAAGACCATGATTCTTAGAGAGGGAGAATATATAAGTGAATCTGAGGTTGAAGAGGGAGAAAAGGGTGAAGACACTGAGGAGGAGGAGGAGATTCCAAAGGGAGATTTATTGATGATTAGGCGATTACTTGATAGTCAATTGAAACCTATGGAAGAAAGTCAAAGAAAAAATATTTTTCACACTAGATGTTTAATCAATGACAAGGTGTGCATGATGATCATAGATGGAGGTAGTTGCACCAATGTGGCTAGTGCTAGATTAGTATCAAAGCTAAATTTAGCTACCAAACCACATCCTAGGCCATATAAACTTCAATGGCTTAGTAAGAATGGAGAGGTGCAAGTGAGACAACAAGTTGAAGTGGACATTTCTATTGAAAAATACAATGATAAGGTGCTTTGTGATATTATTCTTATGGAAGTCAGTCACTTACTTTTGGGGAGATCATGACAATTTAATAAAAGAGTTAATCATAACGGGTTCACCAACAAGATCTCTTTCATGCACCAAGACAAGAAGATTGTGCTCAAATCTTTTAGTCCACAAGAAGTGTGTGAGGATAAAAAGAAAATGAAAGAAAAATTTCTTCAAGAAAAGAGAGAGAAAGAAAGCGTTAGTGAAACACTTGAGAGAAAAAATAGTGATCAAAAGAAGAGTGAAACACTTGAAGTGAGGGAGAACTATTTAGCCATAAAAAGTGAGTATAATGTTAGTTCTACATTCAATTTATCAGACTTATCTCTTTTTTATGTAGATGATGAATCCGATTTGAGGACAAATCCTTTTCAAGAGGGAGAGAATGATGTGAACATGACCTATGATAAGGGCTAGAGCAAGGGAAATAAAGGAAGCTATTCAACAAATATTGTTGGTTGACCAAATTATGTTTTGAATTAATCAATTAATGGACTTTAGTTTGATTTTGTTTTAAGTTGTAATAAGGGCCCAATTGAAAATTTAGTCATTTGCCTTTGGGAGACCAAGGGGTGCATAGCTGATTGACTTTTGGTTGCCACAGTTTCAGATACAATCAGTCATTAAGTAGTTTCAATTCTTAGGTTAATGAATCATTATTAGCCTTTATTTGTTTTCATTAAATAGTTTTCAATTCCTAGATTAATGGGTTATTATTAGTATCTATTTTCTTTTATTGAGTCTTTTGTAATTCTGATGACAATGCTTCTATATCAGCTGAACCATTTTTATCAAGAAATAACAAGTGAAATTTTATTCAGAAATATTAGAGTTTATCTTTTTTATCGTAGTGAGAGTGATTCTCCTAAATTCTTGAGTGATTCAAAAACCCTTGGTTGTATCAAAGGACTTTCACATCCTTTGTGTGTTGCCTCCCTTGGGAAGTGTGATTCTTTCCTTCCACCTTCTTTTTTAATTCCTAGATTTCTTACAAGGTTCTAACCCTAAAGATCCTAAATCACCCCTTGTGATTTATATCAAGAGAGAAGTATGAGGAACGATTTGAAGGAGAGTATAAATGAAGAGGTCTCGCTATATTGAGGAGAATAACAAAGAAACACATAGGGAAGGAGGGTGCAATGATTGTGTCACCCTTACCCATGCTTCTCACATGAAGCGGAATCCCACAACAGTTGCATTACATGCATCCCCTTTGATGGTAGGGAATTCGTCAATGATTGTGCATACATCCCTTTCATGGCAAGGAATCATCGCAAGTCAATCACATGCGGCACATATACATACAATTTTCATCCCAGCTTGAAATCGCCATTAAATACGAGATAGGAGGTGATTGTGTATTATTGGATGTTTGTGTGCAAGGGTGAGTTCGTGGTGGTGGTTTGATGTGTGTATGTGTGATGTATGTTGGCATGGAGAGTGGCAAAAAGAATCGATTATGGGTGAGAGAACCAATTCTCGAACCACAAAGAATTGATTACCCAATATGTTGTATCTCCCCAATAAATCCCTCTCGAAAGGCTTCCTAACAAGGGTTTCAGGTAAGAGTGTCCCGTTATGATGTACGACGATACTTAGAAGGGTCAATAGTGTGCTCCAAAGGATGTATAAATGTGGAGAGACTCATACTTGAAGGGGAGATTGTTAGGAAATATAAGTGTGATTCTAAGTCTCACATTAGGTAAGAATGAAAAAGTTGAGCAACATATAAGGAATTATGACTCATAACCTAATATCTTAAGGTTTTTGGTTGAGAGTGGTGTCAATATTTTATATGGGTTGGACTCAGGTCTCATTGATGTTGTATCTCCCCAATAAATCCCCTCGAAAGACCTAACAAGTTTCTTATTCTTTGCCTTTGAGTTAATTGTGTTTAAATTTTTATGATTATGATTTGATTTTGAGTTAATTATTATTAGATTTTTATGATTATGATTTAATAGAAATGTGTTTAAAAATTTTTAGGGATAAGAATAAGTTTATTATATTTAAGGGTCAGTTGATTGTTAATTATGTTAAATTTTGTATGATTTAGATTTGTGTCAAAAGAATTTGTTGGGAGAAAAAAATTGTATTAAGATTCGAATAGGTTTTAAGTTGGGAGAAAAAAAATTGTATTAAGATTCGAATAGGTTTTAAGTTAGATTATGTTTAAAATATTTTATGTGAGATTAATGTAGGTTTTAAGTGAGTTAGATTAAATATAAAAATTAGTTTATTTAGGTTAATATAAAATACTAAATATAAAATTAAATTAGGGTTAAAAATCATTATATTTAGGTAAATATAACAAATTAAATATAAACTTAGATTACGTTTATATATAATATTAAAAATTAATGAACCTATAATTTACTATAACTATATATTAATTTAGCATTATTTTAATATTATATTATTTAAATTAGAATAATTTGAATCATAAAATATTATATTAGGTGTTTGAATTATAAAATTATAATTGACAATTTGTCTTTACCTGATTTTGGTTAAGGTAAATAAAATTAATAATAAGTTTTTAAATCATAGATCTATTTTTTAAAGAAGTGGTAGAAAGATATTTAGAATGATTTATTAGAGATTTTTATTAATGAAGAGCTTGACTACAAGATCATGTGGTGAGAAGTCGATAGGAGATGATCTGGTAGTGCGCTCGGAGGGGTATTTCAGGATGAGTGATGAAGGACGCTAGTAATCCCACTCTGTGTAAAGAGTGGTTAAAATAGTAATGTGAATGTCAACCATAATGTGCTCATAAATAATAGTCTCGGAGTTAGGACATAATTAGAATAGACTTTCAAAAAACGTCCTAGTATATTAATGATTTGTAATTGATGATGATATGTAATTATTAATTCCATATCTGTTTCATTATATTGAATCATTTAATATTTACCCCCCTCTTTTTTATGTGTATATGATCACTTTTATATAAAAACCAAACTGGAATTAAGAGATGAAGATACAACTAATGGACAGCAAGAATAATACAGTCAGATGATATTTGTGGGAGCTACTTTTGTATACAATTATATAAATAACTTAAGTATACAATTATATAAATAAGTTATGATACTATATTTTGAAGTTTCTTCGATAAATCAAGATTTCAGTCTATATTACAATTATTATAATATAATATAAATATTGATATTGATCTTGTTATTTACTTTTATTATTTTGCATAGACATAATAACAATTTATAGAATCGTTACAAGAGAGTTACTATATTTTTATCATCCTAAATATATATTATAAGATGCCGGTCATTTTATTTTTAGACTTAAAATCGCTATTATTGGAATTAGCTACAACGTCCAGAGCTTGGATAGGAGACTAGAGATTCAATAAACACCAACTAACTAGTCCCCTAATCTAACGCAATGATAATAATGAGAAAACAGAATATGCTGATGACTGGAAACAAACGAGTTTAAGGATTCAGAGTCCATAACAAAATGATTAAGAACTTGGAACAAGAATAAGCTTTCCCCAAAGCCTTGAGAAACTCAGTCTACATGCACTGATTTCAAACCTTGTGCAATAATTAAATGTTCAGAGATGCCATATCTTATTCGGCAAACAAAACTGCAATGCTACTTACTCTCTAGATACTGCTACCAACATCAGGGTTCAACAAAATTATTCCCAGTAAACAAGCTTGCATACTTTAACAGTCACAAAGGAAACTTCATACCTCCCATCTGACGAGAGAAGCCCCGCAGCACTAATCATCACAACTTATTGTTGTACCAAAATACACCTTTGTTCTCAGTACCGTGATCTGGCTCTACATAAATACACTCTCTTGCCTCTCTCCACATTGCCTTGACAAATGGAGTCTCGTCAAACCGATAATACTCTCCCAAAGTAGGCTTTATTGCTTTTGTAGCTTCCATTGCATGATAATGCGGCATTGTGGAGAACAAGTGATGTGCTACATGAGTGTCTGTAATATTATGGAAGACCTTGTTCAGAATTCCATAATCTCTGTCAACTGTTGCCAAAGCTCCTCTCAACCAGTCCCACTCAGAGGAATTGTAGTGCGGCAATGCAGGGTGAGTATGCTGCAAGAATGTAATCAACACCAGAAATCCATTGACCACTAGCAATGGAACACCATAAACACACACCACCCAGGCAAGCCCTTTCGCCATGACAAGATGGAAAAGGCCATAGCATACTGCAAGTACTCCTGCATCTGATATATATATTTGGAGTCGTTCACGATCTGTGTAAATTGGACCATAAGGATCATAGTGGCAAGCAAACCTTTCATAAGGCCTGCCTGAAACATTAAAAGCTAAGTACATGGGCCAACCAAGAGTGAGGGTGACGGCAAGTGTGAGGACTCTGCCTGGTGGATTGTTAAGGTATTTAGAGAACCACTGCATAGCAGACTTTTGCTTTGGCACAAATACTTCATCCCGCTCAAGAGAACCGGTGTTGGAGTGATGACGGCGATGGCTGTATTTCCATGAAAAGTACGGGACTAGGAGACCAGAATGGAGAACAAGGCCAACAATATCATCAAGCAGCTGGTAGTCACTGAATGCATGGTGGCCACACTCGTGGGCAATGACCCAAAGGCCAGTGAGGATACAACCTTGGACAGCCCAGTAGATTGGCCATGCAAGGAAAGAGAGTGGATGGGGAAGGAGGTGGAAGTAACGGGTGGCAACATAATAGAGGCAGAAGGCTATGGTGAGGTCATAAACGACATAGGAGAATGAGCGGAGAACAGAGCGCTGGAAACAGTGTGGTGGGATGGCCTTCTTTATCTGGCTGAGACTAAAAGGAGGTTTTTCAAATGGCACCCGCTTCAGAGGATCGGCCTCTGGTTTCCTGTTGGCAGGAGGAACAGAGGTTCGGCCACCAGCCCCCATCTTCACACAACCTGCACAAGACAATATCAGGGCATATTCTTGCAACACTTTTCATTAACACGAACAAGACTAATATCTTAAACCAAGGATTGCCGACAATACCTACCTCGGTAGTTTCTAAACGCACACGGAATTAGAATGAACACAATGCATGTGCTCCTCAGATCAAAAAATGTATTATTAAAAAACAGAGCATAATACTTCAGTGAGCACATTTCAACAATAGTAGGCAACATGTTTCTCTCAATATCGTTTTCTAGTTCTTTACTTTTCATCTCCACACTCCTGTTTGGTGAGGGGGAGATAATCCTACTGGTATCATAATATACAGATTAACCGGGGATAGAGAAGCACGCATTATTAGCTATGGAAGAATGGAGACTTGCGGTCAACACACTCATACTTTTAGTACGAGAAGGTGTGTTACATGTTAAAAGAGTTTATATTATAATTTTCTTCTTAGAATGGGCGTTAGCAGGACTATATTTCTCTTGCCCAAACCAACTCAGTATAGATGTACATAATGGAATGTATAGTCAGAGAAAACAAAATGAAATATAGTTCTAAAATCTTTGCTTTTATAACTAAAAATAACCCCACATACAAAAAAATTTAAAGAAAGATTAAGAAGAATAAGCAAACAAACGGGAAGACTTCTCCAATGAGAAATAATAAGCAAAAATAGCTAGATATGACACTACACTAGCTTTCCAAAACTTTCCCCATATTTCTAACCAGTGAGGATCTCTTCGAGGCAGAAAGTATAACTGAGTTAATGACTAAGAAAATTATCAGAAACTCAAATCGATTTGTACAGTATTTACACCGCCATCATTTCTAATAAATATTTCTTTAAGGAAAACGGGCAGCCACCATCCTCATCGGAACTTAGGTGGGCCAGACTCCAATTGCTAAACAAAGCAGCTATAGTCTGTTCAGATTCCAGCCGCAGGAACTTCGGATGGGAATTTGGGTTATATGTTACGTCGTGGTGGTTCAATTAACAGTGCATCAAAAACATTTTGGCATAAATAAAAGCATGATGTCCATGTCAACACAAAATGATGGAATAAATTTTCATCCCCAAAACTAATACAACTTCCAAACTCGTCAATCAATCAATTATATAAACAAGTAATATTGATCTTTGATACATACATTTTTTTTTTGTATTTTCAGTAACAGACAACGAATCCAAAGCGGACCCACCAGAACATGTCATGTTACAAGTAATAATGATAAAGAGATGACTATTATTAGTAATATATTATGTTGGACAAAGCATTCAGATCTAATTATCTCAGTTTTGCTGTTTATAGCAATTAATGAACGGCACCTGCAACATCTCCCACCAAAGTTTCGCTGATGTTAAGTTTGCAAGATTTTATTACCATGACCCACAGCGTTTCGAATTTCAAATGAGCAACAGTACCAATACGACACACGTTTCGTAAGCATTTTATAACAAAACAAAAAATCATTTAAAATTAAACATTGTTACTAAATTGTTTTTTAAAGAAATTAATTTAAAACAAATACCACCTTATTCGTTAAAAACCCTTTAAAATATAATAAGCTAATGCAAACGAAATTATCTAATATTAGTACAATAATAACAGATAAATAACAAAATAAAATAGCAATAGTTATATATAGAGAGAGAATCTCAAATATAGATTATTCATTAATTTCAAACTATCTGAAAGTAAGAACTATATAAAAAAAAATACATAATAACAATTTTTTGCACTGACACTTATTCAGCTATTATAATTTATAATTGGTTATTCAAGTTTAGATAAAAACGAAAAAAATTTATATTGCGATGCAAATATTTAAAAATAGTCCTTTTATTGCAGTATATTTTCTTAAAAAAAATGTATGTAGTCATCCTGATTTTAGCTTATGAAATAAATAAATAAATAAATATATATATATATATATATATATATATATATATATATAAACTTGTTGTAAAATAGAATACATGCGTAATCATATTACAAACACATTAAAATAATTATTTTATCATATTAAAATAAACAAGTACTGAATTAATAAAAACATAGATACAAACATACATCTCCTTTCGATCGGCGGAAAAATCGGCACAAGATAAGCCAAAGTTACACTGAGGACACATTATCGAGCAGTTACATATATCATATAAAAATATAAACAATATTTTATAACACTATTCTTTTAGTAATTTTTGAAACAATTTTGAAAGGCGAAAAACTATTTTTTTTTTACTTTATTCAATATTTTCTTTGCTATTTTCTCACTTAATATCCAAACAAAGTATAATGAATAAGTCACTAAAATAGAGTCAACTCTAATTTTCGTAAAAGTAATATTAATATAAATGGGTTCCCTCGTGCTATAATAGAGTTCCGTCTTCCAGTCGACAAAGCAATTGATTTCATAAATAGATTACTTACCCAATTCGGTAAACAGTCCATAGTTGAAAAAAAAAGCTAGACTTTTTTCGCCGTCCATATATTGAAATATATAAAAAAAAAAAGCTACAATTTTCACTCTCCTCTCCGCTAAGATAACATTTACACTAAATGAAAAATCATTATATTCAAATAAGAAACAGAGACAGTCAAATCAAAAATCTTGAAAAAAATAATTTAGTGGTATATATTACCCAAAATCAAATGCCACGGAACTTTCTTTAAAGGGGCAATCCACATAATATATCATTTTTTATGAACAGAAAAATATATTAAATAATAACAGAAAAAGTAATTTCTATGTCACATAGTAACAAATAATAAACAAATAAAAAGTGGCGCTTAACAACGATGAAGGACAAAAATTATAGTGTATAAATATATATATATATATATATATATATATATATATATATATATATATTTTAAAAGATATTGATAGCAATGAACAAAGTTATTATATACAGCTTTTTAGTTAAAATTTAATTTATAAACTGCTAATAATTATAAACTTTTATCTAGGAAAAGTTAATCAACTATGCCTGTTATTCTTATTTATTGATCTGACTTACCAATAATAATAATGTATATACTTTTAAAAATATCAAAATAAAAACCTTTTGTCCAAAAAAATAACACATTTTGCATAACATTCCCCAATAAAAAGAACGATTTCAGAGAATTTTCCTTCCTGGTAATTTAGGATAGTAAAATATTTATTATGAACTTCCTCTATGAATTTTGTTATTTTAAAAATGAAATAGAAATGCTAAACCAGATTTCAAATTTGATAATACAAATATTGAAAAAAAAAAATATATATATATATATATATATATATATATATATAATTGAAACAATCGTAATTATTTATCAAAAATGTAATTTAAAAATAAATAAATAAATTCCCAACAAAAGCAATATTATCTCCTTGGAGGGTTGCATAGATTTTTTAACCCAACTTGGGCTAGCAAATTCGAATATTCTAACTCACCAGCCACCCAATTGGTCCAAATCAATGTATCAAGCACAACAGTAAATAGGGTAGTGCGGAAGCAAAAAATTCAAAGGGGAATAACCAGTCAAATCCTAACTCCTGAGAGCAGGCAGTTTGACGATGAACACACTCATTAATTCAAGAGAAGAAGCGAGATCTGAAAGAGAACAGAGGGCCAGGTTACCTCACGCAAAATTGCTTCCAGATTCACGACACACACGCTTGTTACAGTCGAGAAGAACACAATGCTATCGTTTTCTGAGTACTAGCACAAACCAAAAATCCGACAAGCAACAGGGCGGAAAAAGAAGATTCATACTTAGATCCGATGAAGATGCGTAAAAAAAATACAAGATATAGTAATAAGGACAGGTGTATTTATGCATACGTGAAGGAGAAAATAGATTAAGAAAATCAAGGACAAAGTGTAAGAATTAGTTGCAATAGTACGAAAATCGTGCTGAATAAAAGAACCGTGGAACGTGAATGAAAGCGCATAGAGCGGAAACGGTTAGATCGAGGGAGAATAGGGAAGGTAGAAAGGCGAAATTGAACCGGAGAGAGAAGCATAAACACATACATACATAAATACATAACATTGGTTTTGGACGAGAATCATAAAAAAGAATACAAGAAAACGAAGAGAGGTATGAGAGAGAAAGGTACCTGAAAATGTGAGGGAGAAGGTATATTGGTGCGGTGGAGAATGTGTGAAGAGGAGGAAGTGAGAGAGGGGGCAAGGGTTAGGAGAAAGCGGAGGGGTCTGTATTTAAGCAGTATTTGAGGAGGAGTCTGTACGTGTGAAGAGAGCAATGAACAGTGGTGGTGTGCCTTCCGTCCAATGAACGTGGGGCCCACTGGGTGTTTTTTTTACACTTTCTTTGGCTAATGGCAATCCTTGGTTGTGGCTCACCTTACCATCCCACTTGCCATCACTCATACCTCACCCTTACTTTCCTATACCTCTTTCCCCTCTCATGTCTCAGGCCCACTACCCTCCCTTACATACCTAATTTAATATTCTTACAAACAAAACACTAGAATTTTATATTAGTTAGATGAAAATTTTGTAAACATTAAAAAACACAATAATTTATTTATAAAAAATATATCTTCTAATAATTTTAATAATATATAATAATTTATTCAAATTTTATTTTTTAAATATATATTCATATTCACCTTTTTTTTATAAACAACCAATAAAAAAATTACGTTGAGACGTCGGAATCCACCTACTCGGACTTCCCAATGTTTTAGGATAGCATTTCCATTTCCATAAATAAAGCAAAATGTAAGGTTTCTTCGCAATATTCTCACGAATGATTCACGCAAGGCTTAAAAAATGTTTTTATAAGATTAACTCGGAGAATACTATTGATTTGATGTTAATTTAAGTATAAAAACATTAATTACACTTAAATAAAAACCAATTCAATTACCTATGTTATTTATTAAATGGATGTAATTATCAGAAATTAAAAAAAATGCAATTAAAAGATTCTACTAAAAAAAGTATGTTGTTAGCATGTTTATTCTCATTAATGAAGTCATTTTCTTAAAACCTAGTTTTTCAACTCAGTCATATAAATGAACATGTTTGATGGTGAGTGACCTTTGGTTGGCACTGCATCTATTATTACTAAGATATAAAATATTAAACCTCTTTAAATAAAAATATATAAATAGGTTTTACACAACTTAAATGTAAGTAAAATTTTATTTTTATTTTGCAATAAATATCTTTTTTATTTTATTATTTTCATTAAATAATTTTTTTTCTTATCTCTCACTTACCATATTCACATGTTTTTCTGAT